GGAAAACTCATGCAAATCTTCTCAGCTTTTGTATACCAGGCTTCAGAGATCTTGTGGTTAGAAACTAACACAATTACACCTCAGTTGCTAGCTATAATGTTAGTTATAGTAAATATCTCGATGATTTTGATGTAACTCTCGAAGATGCATCATTTCTTGTGTTCCATATCCGGTAAAGTTATGACTTGCTGGTGTAAATCAAAAATGTTGTCGCCCATTCTCGGTTTTACGGGACGCCCAAAGAAATTTCTAATGTTCAAAAGAGATAGTCCACTCACTAGTCCCTTTTAATTCAGCAGTTATTTGTAAGTTGTTTAACCATGAATCCAAGTGAATCTGTTTGCAAGAGCAGCAGATTTATTAGAACCCACAGTAAAACACTTGTCCTACTCTGAATAGGGGATTTTAGAACTAATTTTTTTCCTCCAACTTTGTCATTTTGTTGATTCGTAATATTTCACTTACATATGAGTGACACTTGATGCAAGATATCATTCTATCTACAGTCTTAATGTAAAAGTCCGAGTTAGCATGTTATAAGTTGTCTTAGCAGAATAGCTAATGCAGCATAAATTTGGAAACAGGAGTCTGAATGATGAGCGTAATCTCAGTATCACAGATTGATTGACTTGTTCTCAAACATAAAAAGCCTGATACAAACAAGATGTTCGACTGGCTAGTCACTTGAGAGAATCAAAAGGGAATGTAAGAATACTGCTTGATATACCACATTCTGAGCGCAATTTAATCACGACGGCTTCTCAATCCTGGTTCTGTAAAGAAAAATTTATCGTGTTGTCATAGCCTTCAATTTCATCACGAAAACTGAACTAAAACATCTTACTGACGACAGGCGTTCAAAAAATCAACAGTAGCTCACCCTGAATTTGATGTAGACGTTCTCTGGGATTTCCTACTGCACACAACATTATGTGCTGCAAAACAGTCTGTCTCCAAACGGTCACTAAATATTACAAGTAACCAACAGTAATAAAGAGTCTTACTCTTTGATTGCAAAGCCACGAAAGGCATTGCTGGGAGTTTCTCACAACAACCTGAAAAAACTATGGGGTCCCTCATAAGTGATCTACGTGACTGCTTACTACACATAAACTTCTTTTCATCCCAACAGTACGGTTTCAGGAACGGTCACCCTTGTAGAACCAACCTACTGACCGTGGTAGACAGATGAACAACCATCCTTGATCATAAGGAGAAGGTTGGTGTCAAATACCTCCACTTCTCAAAAGCTTTTGATCAGGTCAATCATATATGTCCTATTAATAAGATTGAACGACTAGGTTAAAGTCATCGTTAATTGACATACTTAATTCATATCTAAATAATGGACTTTTAAAATTCAGGGTAAGCTTCGCTTTCTCTCAAGTTACAGAATATCCTAAAAAGGTCCATCAAAGTTCAATATCAGGTCCTCTTCTTTTATCAATTTATATAAACGACCTTCCTCAGTAGATATCTTCTGATTTACTACGTTTTTCTGATAACGTAAAACTCCGAAGAGAAATTTCTAACCAAAATAATAAACCGGCACTTCAAAAAGTTCTGACTTGACTTCAAAGTCGGGAGGATAACGAACTTACTTTCAACCATCCAAGTTGTAAAATGGTCAATCTGCGGCATGTTGCAGATTACGCACACAGCTTGGATAACTGCTTTTTAAAGGTATCCCAAGTTGATAAAAATCTAGGAGTCTTTGTACCATATGATCTGCGTCTGTTATAACGTTCGGTTTCCTCCTACACAGATGAGACGCTTATTTGCCTTAAACTCATATCTAAACTAGATATCCTCCCAGTGTCCGTTTTACAGGACTTCAATGCAACTCAGGTCAAGAAAACGTGACGAGCCTGAATACAACGTAAATATATTTCTACACACAAAACCGACGACACTCCAGTAATATTTGTAGGAGAATACATAACGCATCTAATACCCTTCAGACTGTTTGCCACTCTGACTAAGCGAACAGCCAATCACTCTCACTTTCACCCACACATCAGAATTCTTAGTCGCACTGAGACGAAAATGCCTTTCGACTAAATCTTGCACTGTTAACGTCGAAGAACATTTTTGGCCAGTTCGATGGTGGAACGTTTCACTAAATGTTCAACAGTTTTATTCCACCTCATTTAGGGTATAAAAATAAAGTTCAAATGGTTCAAATGGTTCAAATGGTTGTGGACGGAATAGAAGAAGCTTTCGCTTAACAGGCTTCCGTGTCTAGTAGCAGGGGATCACCAAATCCTCCAGGCAGGAACCTAGGTATGTTAACAGTAAAAGAGGAAAAGAAATTGGTAAATCATAATGTGATGCTGTCCTTGATCCTTAAGAATAGGTCAAGTTGCCTCTTGAAGGACTCCTGAGAAGTCGCTTGGACTAGCTCGGCCGGCAGCGAGTTCCAGCTTTTGACAACTCTTAAGGAGTAGAAGTTGTGCCTACATTCCGTCTTGCTATGTTGTGTTTCCAGTTTCTGGGTGTTACCCCTTAGGTTATTATTCGAACTAAGCTTAAGTAGGTGTTTAAGAGGATGTCCAGAAGTGTTAAGAATACTATAAGCCATTAATAAATCACCTCTAAGACGCCTATATTCTAGTGGGTAAAGGTCTAGTGAACGGAGGCGTTCTTCGTAAGGCTTAGATTTGAGCCCTCGAACTGATTTCGTGGCTCGCCGTTGGATACGCTCCAAAGTGACCTTGTCCTTTTGGAGTGAGGGGGGGAGTACTATGTTTCCGTACTCTAAATGGGGACGGATGAAACTATTGAAGATTGTGTGGAAAGTTCGTCCGTCAAACTGGCCAAAAATGCGCCTCAACGTTACCAGTGCAAGGTTTGCTCGGAAGGCATTTTTGTCACAGTTAGCGTAAGACTTCAAGTCATGGGGCACCAGGACTCCTAAATCTTTCTCGACTTGGGATACTACTAGAGAGGAGTTTCCTAAGTTGTAACTGTAGTTTGCGACATGTCGCAGATGGACTACTTTACACTTTGAAGTGTTAAAGGTAAGTCCGTTATCGTCTGCCCAACTTTGAAGTCGAGTCAGATCCTCTTGAAGTGCCTGTATATCGTTTTGGTTGCGTATCTCTCTCCAAAGTTTCACGTCGTCGGCAAAAAGTAATAAGTCTGACGTTACCTGTTGAGGAAGATCATTTATGTAGATCAAGAAGAGAAGAGGCCCTAGTACTGAGCCCTGGGGGACCCCACTAGGACATTCCATAGCTTGAGATAAAGTGAAATTAACCCTAACCTTAAAGTGTCGATTTTTTAGGTATGAAGTAAGCCAATCGATTAGAGGTGGTTTGATACCTAGTCGTTTGAGCTTGTTGATAAGACACAAGTGGTTAACCTTATCAAAAGCTTTTGAGAAATCAAGGTAAATGACATCAACCTTTCCCTTGCGATCGAGGATGCTTGTCCATCTGTCCACCGCAGTCAGCAGGTTGGTTATACAAGAGTAACCCTTCCTGAAACCATGCTGTTGGGGTGAGAAGAAATTTAAGGACAGTAGATAGTCATTTAAACCGTCGCATATCAGGGACTCCATGAGTTTTGAAGGTAACGACAGAAGAGCTACCGGCCGGTAACTTGAAGGTTCATTGCGTCGACCACCTTTGAAAATTGGTGTGATGTGAGCCAACTTCCAGTTTTCCGGTAATTTGCCTCGGCTAAGCGAGTGTGAAAACATCACGCTAAGCGGCGTTGCCAGGATTGAGGCTGCCTCCCTCAGTATGGCAGGATGAACCATATCCGGGCCAGGAGAAGTGTCAAGTCTTAAGTGCTGCAGTTTCCGGAACACCAAGTCAGCGCTTAGGTCCACTTCAGAAAGTCCTGTGGAATTGCAGATGAAACTGTCGTCAATAAAGTTGATGTCAGCCGGTTGAAATGTTTGAGAGTAATGGGCCGCCAGAAGGTTAGCGGCGTCGCCATCGTTGTTGGTCGGGCCGTTAAGACCTAGCAGTTGAGAAACTCCTGTTTTGGCTTGACGAAGTGAGGCTGCATAACGGAATAGGCTTCTAGGGTTAGAGGCGAATTTGTCCATAAGCTTTGTTTGGTACTGAAGCCTGTCTTCTCTTATAGCCTTCGTGCATGTGTTCCTGATATGTTTGTATTGCCTATACGCTCCATCGTTATTAGTGTTTCCTTCCTTACTCCAAAAGGTTTAGAATACTTTGGAGCGTATCCAACGGCGAGTCACGAAATCAGTTAGATAAATCAATTTCAAATCTTAAGAAGAATGCTCTATGAAACTGAGTTTTAGTAAAACTGAGTGTGAGTGTCTGAGAGGTGACCTTTTTATGACTTAAAGCATCCCAAACACTCCATCTTATACATCTACTTAAGCTCAGTCGCTGTATAAAACCGAGGGTAACGCCCAGAAATTAGAGACACAACATAGCAGGATGGACTGTAGGCACAACTTTTACTCTGTTACTGGATACAGAAGTCAACTGAACGAATATATCTTATATTTTGTCCAGAAATGTTTGAAACTATTTGGAGCCCCTTATGAAGAGCGCATCCAATCACTTAACCTTTACGCATTAGAGCATAGGCCTCTAAGAGGTGACCGTCCAATGGCTGAGGTATCCTCAACACTTCTGGATATCCCCTTAACCACATATTTAAGCTTAGTCCCAATACAAACCTAAGTGGTAACATCCAGCAAATTGGAGACACAATATAGCAAAGCGAACTGTAGACTAGGTTCCTGCCTGGAGTTATTCGTGATCCTCTGCTACTAGACGCGGAAGCCTGTTAAGCAAAAGCTTCTTCTATTCCGTCCACAACCATTTGAACTGCAATCCAGGTTTTTTTGATCTGTCTTTTAATATGCACCGTATTACAAGTCCAAATATAGTAAATTTGAATGTCTCAATAAGACTGAAATAAAATGTTTGGTCATAAATATGACCAAATATGAGCATTCATCATAAAAATGTACTAGGTGTTCAAGACTTCTGAAAACTACGAGGGTGTTGAACATTAGGCACTTGCCCCGCTAACCAAGTGTAAAGTGTAGATGCGCGCTATTTAGTTAATCGTGTCAAGTCAGACGGCTGCGTCATATTTAGGTGTTGTCGATCTCTTTGGTTAAAAAGTGTAAGTACAGCAATTTTCCTATTGTCTGCCAACCTCCTCTCGTGTTATGTTTTTCAGTTTTTGCATTGCTCCGCACGCTCCACTAGTACATTAAAACCCAAACTCCCGATTTTGGGCCCGAGCTTCCAGTTTTGGGGAAAATCCCAAAGTCAAATGACCTTCACCAATGTTTTGGGAATTCTGGGGAAGTTTCAGAAAAATCTCATAAGTCAAATGACCTTGATTAAGGTATAAGGGGAATTTTGGAGAATTTCCCCAGGTCTGGGGAAATTTTGGGGTTTTTGTGCCATTTCCCCTAAAGTTCCCCAAAATGTGCCAAATTTCCCTCAAAATTGGGAGCTTGGGGGGGGGTCTCAAAGCCTTATGACAATATTGTCATAGAGTTGTATTTATGACGAAACGCGTCCTGGGTTCCACTGCTAGCCATCATTCATCTTTGCTCATGAAGCTCGTGACCTAAGGCAATATCGAGACAATTTTCACAGGATGCCCGAGCCCCCAAGTTTGGGAAAATTTTAGGGAAACTCCCGAAGTCAAATGACCTTCATCAATGTTTGGGAAATATTGCGGAACTTCCCCAGGTCTGGGGAAATTTTGGGGTTTTTGTGCCATTTCCCCAAACTCGGTCGAACTTCCCCCAAAATTGGGAGCTCAAGTATACATGCTAACAAGAGACTGATCAATTGCAGTCTTTAACAATAACGAGATTCAAGCAAATAACACTAAGTGGATTAGAACTACAATAGTTCACATTTAACCAAATGTGAACCACTACAGTTCTTTATCACCCGTTATTTGTTTGTTATAATTAGTAAAACTGTCTGGAAATCCTTACTTATAATTAAGAATAATTTGTGATATGTTCAGGGGTTGTTGTGTATCGAAATTAACATAATGTGATTTTCAGTGTTTTCCTGAATACAAAACCACAATAAATTTGAACTCACTAGAGCCCTCACAAATTTTACACCGGTTCGACAAGACAGTCGGATGTCAGACCCATAGAACACTATGGAAATAACAGCTGTCTGTCAAATACTTCAGCTTCGAATGAAATGTAGGACAAGATTAGCAGTTACATTTTCAAACGACTTTAGGGTTTCTTCATTCTCCCACCTATTCCTAAGATATGCTTTATGAGACCAGGTTATGTGGATTCGGGATATTTTGAAATTCATTCAAAACTTGAGTTTGATAGGAGCCAATTGATTCTATCTGCTCTCGGCCTCCTCATGCTAATATGTTCAGAAAGACTGGTCAATTCAATTCCGTTCTATTATATATCTGGTATGAGTATTATATTATTCTCCAGTTTTATGTTATTTCTTTTTGTCCTGATAAAAATGATGCCAAGGAGCTGTCTTTCAAAGTGTCATCTTTGGCTTTGGTAGTACTCTGGGTTTAACCTTTCCATTGATTACTTACACTGCTGTCGTACAATTTGTGGTTTCAAAATGAGAATTCGTATTTGTATACGTTCTTATTGTCTCATTATACTCCTTTGTAATCTTATACCGGTTGCAGATACCGGACAGACTAGTAAAGAATAATCCTCGAACAAAGGTTATTATCACATTTTTTCGCTCAGCTGGGAGCATTTTATTTGTGTGCAGTGTGTGTCTACCCTTAATTTGACGACCGTTGGTTCGACACTTTTTGGAGACCCACCCACTTTCGGTTCTTTTAACATATTAAACAAATAACCAAAATCATTCCTCCAGTCTTTTTTGGTTCTGTTGAAAATAGCACAGTAATTTTAAGTATCCATCTCGGGAACCGCAATACGCCTCCCAGATGCATTTTGAATACCATGTCAATGGACCCCCAAGGGTCCCTTGAAATTTCATGCCGGGTTCCCCGTAGGTTGCATCTACTTCGTATCATCATGCTTTCGATTTTCCAGGCCGAAGAGATCGTCATTATGGTATCCATTCTCAACCTGGAGACCATAATGTTGTGAAGAACAGCTATTCAGAATATATGAGATATAATTCATGAACTCCGAAACCCTGTCCCATAAACTGAAGAGAATCTCACGTCTTAACGAGGCAGTCAGCATTTGCATAAGAAGAAAATGCTAACTGATGGTGAAGATTAATATCTTCCCTCATGAAGTCGAAAAGATTGTGTTTAACTAACGTGAGAGTTCTATACCGGGTAACGAAGTCAGTTTCATTTCTCCGCATTCCTAAGTGGATAGTGGGGAGTATCCCTAGAAGTTACCGGTCAGTAGTTCAAGCCCGATAAGTTTACCATCGCTATACACACCTGGTAGTTCTTCACATTAATGGACTAGTCTGCATTTGTATTATTGAATCGTAGAGTGAATGACAAGATAAGCTATTTTCCATATTCCTTTCCTCTATTTCCTGGTTGGCCTGAAAAATGAGGTGGAATTTAAGTATCTGTTGTTAAAAAGAGATTATGCAAGCGTGCTCACAATCTTCCAATAAAGCTTTTACCGTGCTACAACCAGGTTTCATATCAATAACTCAGACAGGTTCTTTTATTGTAAAATTTTTTATAAACTTGGTTACCCTTGGTCACACAATCAAGTAAAAGCCATTTTCGAATAAATCTTACAAAAATCGGTTCGATAATTACTGAGGTGTGAATGTACTGCTTCTACTTCCCTTATCTGCAGATTGTCGAGTTATACAGGACGATTAATTTTTGGTAGGTGTAAACTACCTGGGTGGGGATCGCGAGACGATAGCAACCGATGGTTACGAACCCTGAATGACATGGCTCAAAATCGTTTGCAATGGCGGAGTTGCATCCACTCTTTGTATTCTCCCAAATTTTAATCATCTATAATCTTTATGTCCCGTTTCTCTTTCCAAATTTACTTCACTGTATTATACTCCTTGAATAACATCTTCAAACCCCAATCTTTCCGATTACTGCTTATACTTTTACTACATCTACCACTATGGGATTTGAATCGACAACTGCATTTCTGTCCTAATGTGGTATGGCAACTCGAACTGATGTGCGTACGTACGAAGTTCTACGTTGTTACTGAATGACTGAATAATTTTTGCTGTGCATGTGAGAAGACTGCAATATATAGGAGGCATCACAATTGACACAACCTTGGCGTTGAGATGTACGGAGTGAACCAGCGGTAGCAGTACATGCTATATCCAACAATTATCAAGTCAATATAAAAAGCAAAAAGTTCAAGATTCTTCAAACCATAGAAGGTCGAAGGAGTGGAGCTTTCCATATAATACTACTAAGCTCAACCAATAGGAAGGTTTGACTTAATATTCAACTTGAACCATTTTTTCCTACCGCACAACCTGTTTGGATCTTATCCCATTAGCACACACAAATCTGCTGTACTCCATCACACAATATCACATTTTCCACACGCAATCAGGTATATACAAATATATCTCATAATATCGCCAACCTGAATAATGGTGTAGTCGAACTTGTTCTCAGTTCTCTCAGTTTCGTTTTTTCTCTTCGCATCATCTGAAACTAATTTGATTTTGCTACCTATTCTTCAAAGAAGCAGATTATACTGTCTCGAAAAGTCTGAAATTAAATCTCAGATTCATCGGAATATTACAGCTTTATTAATATTTAGTTATAAACAATCCACCGAGTACTCATTTCATTCGAAATTATAAATGCTTGTGTAATAATTTGTATTCATAACAGTACTTCTTTACTTTGGCTGATTCAAATTTCTTCCAGTTCTTTATGCTTTCAGAAATAATTAATCATTTGTCTCTCTTTTCTACTCATTCAGTTTAATATCAGAAATGAGTGTCAGTCTTGCTGAAAGTGATCCTGAAATTATGGCATTATGCAGGGAGGAAAAAGAACGTCAGAAACTTGGGTTGGAGTTAATAGCTTCAGAGAATTTCACAAGCAAAGCTGTCCTGCAAGCCTTGTCGTCTTCGTTTCACAACAAATATTCTGAAGGTCAAGTTGGTGCTAGGTAATTATGACGCTTTACACAATTGTATAATAAGATATTATAATCTAATCATTATTATCAAGAATATTTCGGATATACTTTACCTTACGTTGTTATTTTTTTGTTGACATTAATTGCTTATCTGTACCTTTAAAGGTCAGTTACCTACACGTTGTACTTTCAGATAATAATAGTAATAATCTCAACGGTCCACTAAACACTTACGTAAAGTTTAGAGTATTTCGGCATATTTTGCACCTATCAAATGGTAAGCTATACGTTACTGATGAGGAACATAAAACCTGGTACATTAACACTACCATAAAACTTCCCGATCGTCGGAGTCGACTATTGCAACAAATGAGATTATTGTTGGTAAGTATACATCTCTTCTAGAAACCGGCAAAGGGTAAATGTTCAGTCGACTCATCCACGCCTGAAATCAGCATTATTTTTCCCAATTTTCCCTGTAGTAGTTTTGGTTAAGCGTCTTTTAATCACCAAGGTCAATATTTTACATGTCGTACTAGTCAAATTGCCTCTTATTTATTTATTTATTTATTTGAACACATAAATATTGGTACAAGAGAGCGCCAATATATATGCGCCACACAAAACAATGGGAATTCGAAGAGAAGTAGAAAGAAGAAAAAAAACTAAGGAACGCAAAAGAAAAAGAGAACAATGACGAAGAGGTACAATCAGAAGAAATCTTTCAGGTAAAGGAGACACAACCACTTTTTATGAAGAAAGTAAAAGAAGGTTACAGCAGGATCGCCACTGGCTTCTATTCTGAGCCATATCTGATAACGTCTCTAGCCACTGTGTAGCACCATCTCTCGGACCCCAACCAGGAAGTCGTGAAGGACCAACACAAGCCAGTCCTTTGCAGCTTTCTTTCATGCCACGACACCATGTCATGCACTGACCACCTCTCCGCTTCTTCCAACCAGTCCCAGAGTCGGCAAATAATGCACGACGTGGAATTCTCTGTGACGACATTCGTAGAACATGTCCAAGCCACCGAAGTCGGTGTTTCAAGATGGTGACACCAATTGCATTATCATCTCTGTGCCCGAACACACGATGCCGAACCTCTGCATTACTGACATGGTGTTGCCACTGGATGTCAGCAATCCTTCGGAGACAGCGATGATCGAACACAGAGAGTCGTCTAACGTCCTCAACTCGGAGAGGCCAGGTTTCACAAGCATAGAGCAAAACTGCTCTCACCGACGCGTTGTAGATCCGGCCTTTTACAGCCAGACTAACATCACGAAGGCGCCAAAGGTGGCCCAGATTGGCATAAGCCGCTCTGGCTTTCACTATTCGTGCATTGATCTCATCACTCACACCCCCACCAGCACTTATGCAGCTACCCAGATACACAAACTTCTCAACTACGTCTATCTGCTCACCGTCCAGGGTGAGTACAGGATTAGAATCCTGCCAGTCTTGTAGAAGTACTTTGCACTTCGAAGGTACAAAGCACATACCATACCTACGGACACTGATTACCAACTGATTAAGTGCGGATTGCATGCCTTGGGCATTATCGCACAGTAAGACAATATCGTCCGCATACTCAAGGTCGAGAAGTCTTTCTCCAGGCAACAGATCCACACCACCATCACTTACATCCATCAGAGCTGTTTCCAGAATGTCATCGATGGCAAAGTTGAAGAGGAATAGTGAGATTGGACAACCCTGCCTAACCCCACTGCTCGAATGGAACAATGGAGAGAGGTGGTTGTATGCCCTCACTCTGCCTGAGGTGTTTGTGTATAGGGCTTTTAGGATGTTAATAAACTTCTCAGGCACACCCTCCTACAATAGGCAATCCCAGAGAACAGCCCTGTCCAACGAATCGAAGGCAACCCTGATGTCAAGGAACACTACGATTGTTGGCCTTTGATAAGTATGACAGTGTTCTAACATTTGGCGGAGTGTGAAGATATGATCAATACATCCTCGACCAGAACGAAACCCAGCCTGCTCCTCACGAGTCAATCTTTCTCGGGTTTTGAACAACCTACGAAGTATGACGGAAGCCAATAGCTTGGACGCAATCGGAAGTAGACTTATCTCCCGATAGTCGTTACAGGAACGACGTGAACCCTTTTTAAAGATAGGGACAACGCTTCAAGAGTTGGAGTTCCTTGCGGACTTCCTCCTCGTTTGGTGGATCAGTCGTCGCCGGCCATGGAGGGCAGGACAGTCTGACCGATGTTGCCGGAGCAGCAGGCCAGTTGAACTGCCCTTCGAAAAATTCTGCCCATCGTCCAAGACGTCGATGGATGTTAGTGATTGGCATCCCATCATCCTCGCAGATTGTTTCACTCACATCAGACTTCTTGCTGCCAGTGGCTCGGATGAGTTGGAAGAGCTTCCGGTAGTTACCAGAGGCAGCTGCTGCTTCCAGCTCATTAGCACGCATCGACCACCAGGCTTCTCGGTCCTTACGCAAGCTTTGCCCAATTTCCTTAAGTAACATCCTTCGTTTATGGTCAAACTCACGGTCACCCGGAGTAGACCGACGGGCTTCAATGAGTTGTAAGGAACCAGAAGAAACCCAGTGCTTAAAAGCGGGACGTTTCGCGAACCCACAACTGACTGTTCCCGCCATTTTCATGGCGTCACGCAATTGCAACCAATGCTCATCTATACTTTTCGGTGGAGTGGTAGCTAGCCTAGAGGCTAGCTCGGTTCGATACTTACTTGCAACAGAAGTTGCAACCAGCTTGCTAACATCAATCCGTTGATGGCGTTCACTTCGTTGTCCACTGAAAAGTAAGGCAAGATTGGCGCAGACCAAGGCATGGTCAGAGTCCAGATAGGTACTCCAAAAGGAGCGGCAGTCTTTTACACAACCACGCCAGCGGTAGCTGATCGCGATGTGATCAATCTGAGTCCAGGCTTGAGATGCAGAGGGAGGACGACAGGTGGCACATCGGCGATGACTGTGCCGAAAGTTAGTGCTAGCCAGAAACAGGTTGTGGTCTGTGCACAGTTGCAGTAGACGGTCTCCGTTATCTGACCTGCGACCAACGAGTCCCCATCGGCCACCTAAACGACTCTCTTCTGTGCCTAGACGCCCGACCTGAGCATTCAAGTCTCCGGCTAGTACTACAATATCTGTCGAACGCACTTTCTGGAGAAGAACTGATAACTGGTGGTAAAACTCATCCTTGATTGCATCCGGGCTGCAATCTGTCGGGGCATAGGCGGAGATGACGAAAAGACATCGTTTCTCACGCCGATTTCTTCTCACTTTGATGGAACTTTCTAATCTAACAGCACATAACCGACTGTTAATGGGGATCCAATCGACTAGTGCTGCCTCAGCTCTAGCGCTTAGTGCGACACCAACGCCAGCAAGACCAGACGAAGATGCCACAGGGTCCCCGGATAAGCGCACGTAAAACAAGCTTTTCGAAGCGACAGATGGAGATCGAATTTGTATTACTTCGCCAGAGTCTTGAATACGGGTCTCGGATAGACAACACACGTCGATATTAAGACTTTCCAAAGACATAGCCAGCCCTATCTGTTGTCCGACCTGCATAAATGTGCGAACGTTGAAAGCAGCCAGTTTGAATGGTGCACGTGGTTTCAGAAAATCTGCTTCAGTCCTCGTATTCGGTGGTAACATACAATTTTCAACCGGACAGTGACTCGAGAACGTTTAGATACAGTCGGATTTCCACCAAAGACGAGCCGCTGTATAAGTATAAAAGAGGGTGAATAATGTGGAAAATAATAATAATAATGATAATAATAACAATAATGACAATAATAGTAGTAATAATAATATTAGTATTAATAATGACAATAATTGTAATGATAATAATCTGAATCAATTGTTTGTTTTTCAAAGCGAGAAAGGTAATTTCCATAGGCATAAAGAGTTCATCAATTTGTGTGTGGGCTGTGATACTGCCCGGGTGCCCAAACCGAAGCAGGTGGTTTTCTTAGGGGGCCACTCCCCGAACCTTTGACCTAAAGGTCTAACCCACAAGGCAGTGGAGCATCGTAAGGAGATGCAGTCCCATGGTAGCCGGTGACCAACGATTGGTTCATACGCCATTCGTTCCCGCAGGATACTGGAGCCCATGTGCACCATTGATTTGGAATCCGGTTAAAGCGCCGGACATTCGCTTTTCGTCCTCTCATTTTCGTAAACAACACCCCCGCCACGAGAAGGCAATGAGTAGGACTTCCCTGGCAGAGGCTGTATACGCGTGGCCGTGTGAGAGTATTTCGAGAGGGAGAGCGGACTCTCCCCACTCTCGGCCGTACCAGGGCATTCAGGGGGCAAATTGCCTCTGGGATTATGGGAAGAGAAATTTGGTCCTTTCCTATAAACGAATTAGTAGTCATATTATGGGAATGGTTGTCGACATGGTCTGCCAGTATGAAGTATAGTAGTTTTTCACGTTATTCACCTAAGTAGTGGGTCTCAACCCTGCAGATTGTAACCGTTAAATCTCTGCAAGCATATGAAGAGCTAAATTAGTATTTTCTAACATACTAGCTTTTATTTGATCGAAAGATCTATCTATTTACTGAGTAGCAAAGACCACTCAACACATTTACATGATACTCCACGCTTATGAGACTTGGCTCTCTGAAGCGCTCTTTACATTCAGTGAAACTACAGCTTATATGATGTTATTGCTCAATTCTCAGTGTCTTAATTGATAGTTCAACTCATTTATCAGGTATTTGTCAATGTTTTAGTGTAAATCACAATTTTGTTTTACAACTAATGAAATCAACCAGGTGTCCAAGCTGAAGTTGGTGGAGCTGGGTTTGGCGATGTAACTTAACAGATTACCCACCAAACTCTCACTTTACTGTTTATTGTTCCCCTAATGTGTTATGAACTTGTTACGTCATAGGTAAAATAAGTGTTTCCAGTAAGTGTAAACCACTAAATAAGTCAATTCAATTGTAGTTTTAAGTTCTTGCTGACTTAGATGATTGGAGTTTATTACTTGTATCAAGAGGTATTTTACACTGACACAATTAATGTGCATTAAATCTACATCAGACTTGGCTAAATAAATCCACTTTGTTGTATGTGAAAATAATAACTGCATTTAGGGTTATTACTAGTGCATATGTGATTTTTTTGTACTTTGCTTGATCAAGTTAACATGTTACAAATCTTTGACTTTGTTCCCTTATGATATTTAAGATATTACGGTGGTACCGAAATCGTAGACAAAATGGAAGCTTTGTGCAAGAAACGTGCTCTCGCCTTATTTGGTCTTGATGAGTCTGAATGGGGTGTTAATGTTCAACCCTATAGTGGATCACCGGCTAATTTCGCCATATATACGGGGTTGGTCGGTCTTCATGGTCGTATTATGGGATTGGACTTGCCAGATGGTGGACATCTTACTCATGGATACCAAGCTGCATCTGGTCGAAAGGTTGGTGTATTTCGTTGTCTCTAGCGTTATTTCTACTGGTTCTTTTACCATTGGTGCATACTAGCATTACTCTTAATAAGGGAGTCACAGAAGTCTTTACGACAATCTTACTTATCATACAATTTAATCCAGTGAAACGGGTAATGTGGAGTATCTGGAAGTACTGATATCTAATGCTTTTAAATTTATTTGCAGTGTTTTTGGTTCATAATACAGTGAGATTATAGAGATCTAGTTCAAAGGATGCAACAAATTTTCATAAAATTTGTACCTAACAAAAATGTACTTCTAAACACAAGATAAAATTGCGAAGATATACATTTCGCAGAATAATTGAACTGCGCGATAGTTTCATGTATATGTAGTATGTTATTCAAATCCCTATGATTAAACATTCTTGACCATTTAAATGTCTTGGTTTTTTTCAAGGCTCAAGTTGATCAAATAACTATCGGAACTCAAAATAAACTATAATTCCTTTTTGTTTCATTCTGTAACTTCTCGTTGACTTTAACTGACTAATAATTTTAAAATCAAACTCAGAGTATTACAAATCAGTCTTTAATAACTAAATATCCCGCCTCAACGATTGATAATACGACTTCAAGATTTTCTCAACGAGTTTTACTGTTATCATGGTAGCAAACCTTCAGACAGCATTACGATATCTACATATACGTCATACCGAATTTGTTTAGCAGTAAATGAAGTTCATCATATTGTCATATAATATACTCAAGATTGTTTGAAGATCATTGATGCTGAGTATCACTTAAACTTCTGCTGGGGTAAATCTACTGATAAGGTAAAAACTGTCTGATGTTTTGTAGCAGCTTTTTAAACTACTACCAGCTGACTTTAAAAAGTGAGATACATTTCCATGAGTGAGTAATACTTGATATCTAAACCGTATTCTCATGTCTCCCTGATGTTCGTCCACTCTTATCTAGATTTTTTCCGACTCAAGTTTCAGTGTTCTCATTTAGCTCAGCTTTGTCACGTTTATTTTCCTACCTTGTATGATATATATATATATATATATATATATATATATATATATATATATATATACCTTGTATGATATATTAATGACATAATTCCTAATTTTTAAATTTCCTTGAAAGTCAATAAATATATAGTTTGTCACGTTTAAATACGCAGTGACCTCTTAAAACAAAATGAAGTAGAAAATTGAGAAATAGGTTGTATTCAGGCTGTCGTCTTGAGTGGCAAAATACACAGTAAGCCACTAACAGAACAGTAAAACTATCGTTTTTGCTAAGAAACCACGTACTAATCAAGACTAAGCTCTTGCACTTAAAATGTGTTTAGTAATAACAATCTAATAAGAGCGAATGTCAATCACATCTACTATAGTCTTAAATTATTTGAAAGGGAAGGTGTTGGGGGAAAAAACAAAGTCCTATCTCTTCATAGAGTTGTGGGCTATTGGGCTGAACCATGTAGCTAGGTGGAGGCTACCTAGTTCAGGTCCATGCGTTTACTCCGACCAATAGTTGATGTTGTGACAGCATGAAATCGGTTACAACGGCACAAATGCATTAATTTCTTTTTCTAAATCCTGATTTTCAGAGTTATTTTGTACCTATTATTCCGTGCATTAAATCAGTCTTTTCAAATTATACTTTCGGTATTTAATTTTTTGTTACCGCTGATACTTCTACTAACTTGTTATTCATCTTGATAACTTCAACTTAATGTGCTGATACGATATTCAAACTTAGACCGATATATATATATATATATATATATATAAGGTTCTACATTGCTTGCAACAGTTTAAGCATGCTTGAGATGCGGTTGGCTCCCTCCAACCGTGAAGCGTTACTTCAAGGTTGACTTGCGTCAACGCCTGAATTAATGATAAGGAGTAAAGTAGTTAAACCCATCATCTGCTTCACTTATATTGGGAGTCTCGTCAGTGCTGATGATCTGGTATCTGACGAAATCTCTGCACGAATTCAGAAGGCTGGATTGACTTTTGCCGATTCGCGTCATTGTGGCGTAGGCCAGATATCCGTATCCTAACCAAAGGACGAGTTTACTGCACAGCAGTTCTACTTTATGGATGTGAAACATGGCCATTAAGAATAGAGGATATTCGTAGGTCACTAGCATTCTGTTATAGGTGTATTCGAAGCATTGCTGGTGTATTTCGTGACCATCGAGTATACAATGCCTGAGTTAGGAATACGGAGCTAGGTAAAGATGGCAAGTTGATTGATGGCGTAGTCAATCTTCATTAACTGAGGTGTTTGGAACGTGTTATGTATGCCCAATCGCCGTCTACCTCGACGGACAATGTTTTCTGGTGTAAGAGTAGGCTGTAGGAAAGCTAGGGACGGCCTAACTAAAACATGGCATCAGTTCATGAAGTCACTGACAACTAAACTTAGCCATGTCAATAGGTGTAGACTACCTGGTTAGGGTCCATGTGATTGTCGTAACCAATGGTTAGAGACTTTGAATGACGTGGCTCAAAATCACTTGTAACGGTGTAAGTGCATCCGTTCTTTGTCCTTCCCTGAATTCTGAGATTTCGAATTCCTCATAACTATTTTCGTATTTTGTTTTCACTAATCTACATTTTCTTCTCAAATTGTATGTTCGATGCGTAGTGTTTCTTATTACCATTGATACTGTTACTACCTCTACAATTCTGGTATTCTGCCTGACTATTCCATCTATGTTAGCTAATGGGGTATGGTAACCTGAATCGATGTACATACGTACCGGGTTCTACGTTGTGACCGACTGCGTCTTACTGACGTAAAGGTCACATAGATAAAGATCCACTTCAAAGACTTCAGGTCAATGTAGGGATCCACAATCTAGATTATAAGTATTTAGGATTAATATAATTAAGTATTATCAAATTAAAACCTCTGACTTGATAAATCTGGTGTTATTTTAGTTAACATAAGCTTAACGATTTTTTTAATTTGCATTATATTCTCAATGAAATAATACAGCACCACAATTTTAAATCTGATCTTGGAGCTTGTTTTCTAGAGTTTTTCGTGATAATCTCATTTAGGATGAACATAAATGCTATACGACTAGATTACTCATTTTAGAAGAAATCACATCAAAAATTTTCGGTGTTTTCTCCATAAAATCTTTTCATTGTACCCAATTAACTCTGAACGTTTAGTGACCTTATAATACTAGTTATTAAAATCAGTAAACCTTCAATGTACAAAATTTTGACTGGAAATACTTACATATCAACTGATAATAAGGAACTCTTTTTGGTGCACAAAGGAGGTACATTTTTAAAAACTTACAATATCCTTTCAGTTTTCTAGTGTTTAGCATTTCGTTTCATGGTATAAATTCCTTAGTATCAACAGCACTGTCTCATGTATCTTATAATCAGCTGTTATATTCAGTTACTTTTACGGAACCATTTTATTTTTTGTAAATATTTGTTATTACCAGGTTTCTGCCACATCGTTGTTCTTCGAGTCTGTTCCTTACAAAGTTGACCCTAAGACTGGATGGATAGATTATGAACGATTGGAGATTGTAGCAAGATCTTTTCGTCCTAAATTGATTGTTGCAGGAACTTCAGCATATGCTCGTCACTTGGATTATCCGAGATTTCGACAAATTGCAGATTCAGTTTCAGCTGTGTTACTTGCTGATATGGTAAATAATAAGATTGATTTCCAAATGTCAGTTAAACTTTTATAAATATTTAAGTGTTTGTTAGAACAGAAGCATTTATTGTGTCGCACAGGTAACCGATAACAATCTTCAACTCCTTTTTTGTTGATATAACTAATGACATCTTTATTATGATATTACCTAAAGGTTGTTTGTCTTTCAGTGGTAATGATAGTAATCACAAAATTTAACTATGTCTTCCCGTGTTTTCTATCGAAGTATCGTGGTATATTTTTGATACAGCGAGCTAAAGAATATTTCCGCATATTTATTGATTAAGTTCTATGCAATGAACTATATAACTTATATATTTCACATAGACATTGATTATTAGTGAATTTATTTTAATGTGGTTTGACCTAATTCTTCAAAATAATGCATCTAGATAGAACAATTATTTTACACTATTGTTCGCCTAGTAGTTTAGTAAGAACAATATACAAGAAAAAAAAGAAATCTTGGAATTTGGATGACAAAAATAAGAACTATTGATTTTTATGTTGAGCGATAACTTGATAATTTAATCAAACTCAATCTTTACTTCTCTTCAGTTTGTTTAGTCGGACAGTATCACTGGCTGTTGTAACTTGACAAAATACTGATATAGCTACTTGTTGCATCCTGCAGACACAACTGATTACTTGCTACTCGTTATAACGGAACAAGCACTGGTACAGCTCAATGCAAGAAAGAAGGCGAGATTACAGATAAAGATTTTATTATGCATCAACACTAAATTCGTAACAGATTCAACCGTTGACCAAAACCATATCTCAATAACTGAGCCATTTATCATTGACATATCCGCTTGGTAGTCGAATTTGATTACATTAAACTAGGAAGTTCCTTGGCATAAATTAATCTGTAACTAAATACACGTATATATTCTACAACACTAATAGATTTAGTTGAATTGACTGACAAATTTAATTAAATTGTTGATTCTCATAATTACTTCCAACACTAACTATTGCAAAAGAAGTGTGGTTCAAAACCAAGTGCCTTATTAACGAGTTAAATTAAATTTAGTAAACCTTGGTTAAATACTATTGGCATTTGGTTTTAGGATTCTTAAAATAACATATTATTATTCCCTTGACGATAAATTTTCATGTGTTGGTTATTGTCCATGAGTTGTTAGGAAACGGGTACTAGGTAAGGATGGCAAATCCATTGATGACGTAGTGAAACTTCATCAATTGAGATGGCTTGGACATGTGTTACGTATGCCCAACGACCGACTACCTCGACGTGCGATGTTCATTGGTATAGGAGCAGGTTGGAAGAAAGCTAGGAGCGGCCAGACCAAAACATGGCACAAGTTCATGAAGTCACTGACAAGTGGTCTGAGTCATGTCGGTAGGTGTAGACTACCTGGTTGTGGACCGCGAGATGATAGCAACCGATGGTTGGAGACCCTGAATGACATGGCTCAAAATCGTTTGCAGTGGCGCAGGTGCATCTACTCTTTGTGTTCTCCCAAATTTTGATCTTATTCCTCCTTGTCTCTTTTTTTTCTCCTCTCAAATTTACTTCACTGTATTATACTCTTTAAGTAACATCTCCAAACACTAATCTTCCCGATTACTGCTTATACTCTTATTACCTCTACTACTACAGGATTTGAATCGACCACTGCATTTCTATGCTAATGTGGTGTGGCAACTCGGACTGATGTACGTACGTACGAAGTTCTGCGTTGTTACTGACTGACTGATTGTCCATGATATATAGATTAAATGATATGACTTCCTCAAAATTTTTATATATTTGGAGCTCTAGACTCTCATCTTCATTTTCTTTACCGTTTCACCAATAGTTCCTTTTTAAATTAACCAGATATTCACTGATTGCAGTATTGTGTATATTGTGTTTTTAGTCTTGATCTGACACTATTGTCTGTCTGCGTAATTCACTCATAAGTGATATCTGAAGACGACAAAGAGCTAGGTACTTGAAAAAGAAATTAAGTTAGAGATGGTCTTATTGACCTGAGAGCGTGACCTCAGTGCTCAAGGGACAACTGCTTGAGGTGAGTCACACACAACCTTTTCGTGTTAGTTCCATACTTGTTGAGACCTTACCGCTGGAGACGGAAATTCGTGGGATAAGGTGAGGTGTGCATTTTTAGGGTCGACCCTTTCTAACCCCACCCTTCCTTGGAAAAGGCAGCATCTCCATTTTGCTCGTTGTTTGAAGGAAACACCTTACTGCCGTCACACCTCTATACAGTCAGCAACACGACTTCGCCCTTGAACCCAGGGTTTGATGCATTTAGTTCCACCGTTCTTCAACCAACCTGTCTGTCATGGTAGGACATTGAGAAACGATTGTTCCAGCCAATATAGCTCGATTAGTTCATCATGATAGACAAGCCCGACTGCCACATCAAGGTAGCAGCAACGGTCGGCGACAGCCACCAGTGTAGCATTTGGTTCAAATCGTCTGAGTTTTAGTTAACTGCGCATATTTATACGACGACATGTGGTCATGTGTTCAAATTTTAAAGTCTAAAAGTATGCATGCGTAAAAATTATTTTACCATTACATAACAAATGTAGATTATAGCGTAGTCGTTAGGTGTGTATGTACTCGCAGCTTTTCATCCTTATTAGTTTCATATGAAAGTTGATTTCCATTATGCTTTCCATTTTATGTAGTGTATATGTTTATATGTAAAAAACCATATTTGAAATAATCTCAGCTATTGAAATTTAAATTATTCCAATGTTTCGTTCGGCAAACGTGTCTGAACGAAACGTTTGTGTTATTTAAATTTCAATCGCTGAGATTATTTTAAATATATTTTTTCACATATAATAGCTTCCTTGTATTCGACGCCCAACTTTCATAAAACCATTCGTTCTAATATTGACAAATATTCGTATAAAGTGAATATGTTTATTTCGGTATTCGTTTCGGTCGATTCATCAACACTATTCACTCTCGGTGTAATGATTAACTGTTAATGTTACAAATTAGATACAAGATTCCTTACTGATAACTCTTGTTTACAGAATAATCTATCTAACTCTCATCGCTTCATTCATTTTCAGTCTCATATTGGTGGTCTGGTTGCTGCAGGTCTTCACCCTTCTCCTTTCAAGTATGCTGATGTAGTGATGACCACTACTCATAAAACAATTCGTGGACCGCGAGCTGCGATGATATTCTATAGAAAAATGGCCAGATCAAAAGAAAATGGTGTTGAAGTAAGTGTTTTAAAGTTCAATTCTACGTAAGTTATTATCCTAATAATGCTAATTAAGGAGTACGGAAAAAACATTTACATTGTACATGGTTTAGACCTTTTGAGTACTTTTGTAAAGTTTGTGAATTAGTAATGTATAACTTTTTCTATTAGCTCAGACCAGTCTGTCGATCAAATTGTTACAAACTGAATGACTCAATATTACACAAATATGATAATCATCCGCTCTCTATCCTTCTATCCCTTTTTACCTTTTTTGTATATGCTTTGTGTTACGTCTTTAATTTGTCTGCTTATCAGTCTGTGATTAGCATGCAGAGAGAAAATTATTTCGATCTAGTTTATAGCCTTGAGAGGACAGGTGACTTGGTACAACCTTGAGACTTACAACGCGTGAGTTCGATTATGACTGAACAGCCTTAAGGGCAGAAAGAAGACTATCCTGCCATTAACCTACGATCTGTAACCTGGTAGGCTGACAAGCGGAGGGAATAGACGTTTTAGCTGGAATTATTCTCTGATATACTCTTCATTCGAACTAACTTAAAAAGGTGTATGATTAAATATATGACTAACAAGACTTCGACACACAAGGAAGGAGGAAAATACAGTTATGTCTAAACTAGGACATTAGATTAGAAAAAAATGGACTACAAGGGTCACGTTTAAATTGAAGTAATTTCTTAACAGAAAAGAACATGATAGTAAATTATTTATTAAAGAAAAACTTACGATTTGCAGAAGCAAGTCGACACAAAACTAAATACCGGTTTTTATAGACTTCGAACTAAGCGAGATAACATCCCGAAAATAGTTTCCGTTGTGTGCCGTTAGTCCTTTATTGCCATCTTCACTTTTACCCCTAACCTTATCTCTGTTGAAATTTCTGTCCTGTCTACACAGTCTGAAGCTCCCGAATGATCTATTTTATGAATATTGCGATGCATTATAAAGTCTGATATAGCTTTTATGAAGACTTGTGTGCTGTATTTCTTGTATCTGTAATCAAGATTTGTAAAGTATTACAGTTTGTTATCCATTTATCATATCAAAAAAGTTTATTTTACGTAAGCTTATTCAGAGACCCTGTGATATCAACATCCTGTTTTTCTAACATATGTCGCGAGGGCATCAGTAATCGATTAGATCTTTATATAATCATATAATCATTTATGATGTTAGATCATAAAGTGGGAAGAAACTGGAGCGGGAGTTATACCTTTTCACAATTTCCGTCGACGTATGGATGGATTCCAGCCTGAATGGAATTAATGACTTCTACCTTCAGTTAAGTGATCTCAAGAAGACGCATTCGACAGACAGTGTCGTAATAACTGGAGGTTGAACGCATATATCGGGCAGCTATGTGTTGAGGAAAGACGTTTGAATGACTGATACTTATATGTTGGTCACAGGTCAAACGGTAATTCTCTTCTGTGGTACACAACTTGTTTCTGGCCATATCCAACTTCCTGCACATACAATCCTATCCACTCTGGTAAATCGCGGATTCGATATGCTTAGATCCTCACGTTAGAAAATTTCTTAAAGTTTACAGAAAGACTGAGCAACGTGATAGTCAAAGCGTGTTAACCACTTTAAAACAGCACCGCCATGTAGTAATTCCTGGGATTTGTTTTAACTTACTCGAGTCATTGGTATCAGTGAAACGATCTATAAAGTCGATGACATACCAATTGGTAACCTCTAAAAGCGTCTTAAACTCTGGAAAGAACACTTCGTAAAACTACCCAACTGATCTTTTACTTCAGCAACGTCAATCAGATTGTTCTGTCTTCTTTTGCCCGTGAATACTGATTGGCCTGATTAAGTAGTGGTCCGTAAGGTTTCCTTTTAAGAAGTAAGATAAATTTTAGTCCGGAAACTGACTAGTTTGTTTTGAAAGTGTTATGAATTTAAGTTGGGTCGATTTTTACCCTGTGCTAATTGTTGTGTCCTTGACTGAAGAGATTAGAGAGCAGCGTATTTATCGATCGATCCAATGAAACGTAAACACGTTCGGACTGCCTAGAGTCTCGATTGGTCCTGCTTCGCTGTCTGTCCTAGCCAGTTGAGTCAAGAACACAAGTCACAGCCTCTGAGTTATGAATCATTGTATTTCAGACATACTCTATTTATATACCAAACAAACAAACCACATCGTACCATAAAATAGGAAACAACATTTACAAAATATTTAACAAGTGAAATAAACATCGATCAATATGAAATGTACATTTAAGGTCCAAGGCCACCATAGACTTAACACGATAATTATTGGTATATTTTTCCGACTCAGTCAGTCAGTCAGTCAGCTACAACGTAGGACCAGGCACATATGTGCATCGGTCCAGGTTGCCATACCTCATTAGCACAGCAAGATGAACAGCGGATTCATAGGAGTGGTTAGGTCAAATGTTGCAATAAGGATATAGTATAGGAAGAAAGAATGAAGTGATTTTAGTCTCTTAGTTTAAAAGAAGACAGGGAGTGTATACACCGACGCCATTGTGATCGATTCTGAGCCATGTCACCAAGAGTCTCCAACCATTGGTTACGAAAGTCACGCGGACCCCAACCAAGTAGTCTGCATCTACCAACATGGCTCAGACTAGAAGTTAGTGACTTCAGGCACTGATGCCACGTTTTGGTTTGGCCGCCCCTAACTTTCTTCCAACCATCCCCTACCCCGGTTAGCATTGCACGTCGTGGTAATCGGTGTTCAGGCATACGTAATACGTGGCCCAACCATCTCAGTCGATGAAGATTCATAACCTCTTCAACTGATTTACCATCATTCCCTAATACCCTGCGTCTAACCTCACTATTACTTACCCGGTGATCCCAGCAGATGCCAGCAATATTTCTAAGGCATCTGTAGTCAAATACTAGTAACTTACGGGTGTCTTCTACTCTTAAGGGCCATGTTTCGCTGCCGTAAAGTAAAACAGAACGAACTGCCGCGCAGTATACTCGCCCTTTTATTGATAGACGGATATCTTGCCTTCGCCAAAGATGACGTAAGTTGGCAAAAGCCAAACGAGCTTTTCGAATCCGTACTGAGATTTCGTCAGACACCAACCCATTAGGGCTAATCAGACTTCCAAGATAAGTGAAGTTGTCAACGCGTTCAACTACTTCACTCCCTATCCTTAGTTCAGGTGTTGACCCAGACCAGTCCTGAAGCAACAACTTGCATTTAGAGGGAGAGAAGCGCATCCCAAACATTCTGGCATTGTTGCTTAGTGCTGCCAGAAGACTCTGCAATTTGTCAGCGTCTTCACCAAACAGGACTATGTCATCTGCGTATTCTAAGTCGATAAGTGGACCTCCTGGAAGGAGATCAATACCCGAGAATTCAGTCGACGAGAGTGTTATTTCCATCAATAGGTCTATGATGAAGTTAAAAAGAAATGGAGAAAGTGGACAGCCTTGACGGACACCACTTGAGGTTGCAAAAGTAGATGACAGTTCGCCATAAGCCCTGACTCGACTAGTAGTGTTCGAGTAAAGAGCCTTCACAAGGTTTATGTACTTCTGAGGTACGCCTTTCAATGACAGACACTGCCACAGAGTCTCGCGGTCTACCGAGTCAAATGCTGCTTTTAAGTCAAGAAATACCACCATCGTCGGACGCCGATAGGTATGCCTGTGTTCTAGAACCTGACGAATGGTGAATATGTGGTCGATGCAGCCACGACCAGGTCTAAAGCCAGCTTGGTTCTCTCGAGTTTGTAGTTCACGAGTCTTAGTTAGGCGTTTGATAATTATCGAGGCCAGTATTTTAGATACTATGTTTGTTAAACTAATCCCTCTGTGGTTGTCACAGGATGATTTTGACCCTTTCTTATATATTGGGACGATAAGTGATTGCGACCAGTCAGATGGGATAAAGTCTAATTCCCAGATCTTAGCTAAAATATTAGTCAACTTAATCGCTAAAATTGGACCACCATCCTTAAAGACCTCTGGAGCCAATCCATCTGGACCAGCTGCCCTTCCTCGTTTCAGATTAACTATAGTCTTTTGAACTTCAGCAAGAGTCGGAGGACCTACTTCAATGTTCCATTCACACTGTCTGGGAATGGAGGGTAGTTGTAGAGTAGCTGAAGGCCAGCTGAACTGTTCCCTAAAGTGTTCCGACTATCCTAACAGAAAGGTTTGCGGACTGGAGTGTATTCCATCATCGTGGAATATAGCGATCTTCGTTCTTATCTTTAAGAAGGGCTTTTGTAAATTACTCAACAATTATTGGAATATAATTTCCATCTCAATGGCTTCTGAGTTATGAGGATCAGATTTAGCAAAACCCTTGAAGAACTGACTCGTGAGTAGCTGGCTGGTTTTCGTTCAGACTATATCCTGAATCTACTGAATGCTGGAACACCGCTACACCTGCTAAAGTGCAACAATCATTGTATTCCTTAATGTCGGGACCACCTTCGATTCTTAGGACAGACTGACTTCTGGGATTGTTTGTTGAAGAACGGTGTGGTTGACGAATTCATTGACATCTTGAAAGCTATGTATGTAAAAACATCAAACACTATGCGTACATCCGTTTGTCTTCTTTGCCACAGTCTAACAGTAGAGCTAAGGGGGTTTTCGGGTTTCGCCATTGTTCTCTAACTTTGCCATCGATAATATTCTGGAAAGAGCTCTAAAGAAAGTAGGAATTACATGTGTAAAATTATCTTACTGTGCGACAATACATAGTTGTTTCAAACCACAATTAGTAAGTCAGCAGTTAGGGTCTGTTGGCATATCACGTATTTTCCACCATCTGAATGCGAAATACCTTTGTAAGATTGACTTTAGCATGTACCCACCCACGTTCTGTGGTGAACCATCGAGAAGTTCTTTTATCTGGGTAGTTTATGAGTAATAGTGTCTGAGTGACAAATGAGATTGATCTACATATAGTGAAAACCAAAGCTGTCCTATGCCAATCTTGGCCCATCATAGTGCTGGCCTAGCCATAAAAAATCGGGTTTGTAGCGCGTCGATAAGAGCAATTTCACCCCACGCTTGGTAAACCTGACTTCCGAGTTAAGAATGTTTTCAAACGGTGTGTTCTATCATCATTGTCTTTGAAGAATTGCAACACCATATTTGTATTAACAACTTGTCGGGCACAACGACGGTGATTCAATTGGTCCTCACTATCTTAAAGCATCAGTCTCGGTGGCTCGTGCATGTCGTTCCAGTGACCCATATTGTATATTGACTGGCATCTACCTGTCCACACCGGTGAAGGTTTTGGAAATGGTCAACTCACTGGCTTGGAACACTATCAGGTATGGCTTAAAATAAAAGTAATTATTATCCTGCCGTAATTTTCTATCACTTAATGGTGAGACAATCTTCCCTGACTAAAAGAAGTTTTTAGTGGATACATTTTCGATTGAACTGTCTCTTTAATATGATTTCTGTTCATTTATTTATTGATTCGGTACTTTAATATATTGAATTTTCTGTTTTACTTAGACACCTAGTCTTTCGGAAAAGTAATTAATCCGGGATATGTTCAGTTCATGATGGGGGGGGGGCTATTTTTAAAATTAAGCAGTTATCACCATCATCAAATGAATATTCTGATCCTTTTAAAGTTCCCTATCCAGTTTGTATTCATCTGTTTTTTTTTAAATTTTCCCTAATTTTATTTTGTGGTAAAATCTCCAAACTTGTTTTGTCACTTCTTTACCCATTTAGAATGGATGTCACACTGATCCTACTTCAACAGACTTTGAACGTCGTATTAATGAAGCAGTCTTTCCAGGTTTACAGGGTGGTCCTCACAATAACACTATTGCAGCTATAGCTGTTTGTTTAAAAGAAGCTGCGTCATCTGAATACAAAGTTTACCAAGAGCAAGTTCTCAAAAATATGAAACAACTTTGCAAATCATTAAAAGCTTATGGTTATGAGGTAAATAATAATAAGCTCTTAATGATCGTCTCCATTTTGTTGAAACTGTGTAAAATACTGCTGATGAAATTTAGTAACTTAGACAAGATTATAAGTGAATAATATATTCGTAATATCTCAATGAGTAGAAAAATTAGATTTTCCGACGTTTCGTGACTTAGTGTAAACCACTTCTTCAGAGAATGAATCAAGTTTAAACTTGAATTAATTTTGATTTGATTACTTATTTATTCTCTGAAGGGGTGGCTTACACTAAGTCACGAAACGTCAAATTTTTATTTTCCTACTCATTGGGATATTACAAATATGTTATTTATTTATAACAATCTACCCAATGTTCAATTTATTCGAAGTTATCAAATCAAACCTTAGTAATGATACCTATTAGACAAGATTGTTTACCATGTCTATATTTTTATTTCTTTACCGTAAATTTCTGTATAGCTTGTGACTGGAGGTAGTGATACACACTTATGCTTGATGGATCTTCGCCCATTAAAAATAGATGGTGCTCGAGCTGAGAAAGTTTTAGAATTAGTTCGTATCTATGCAAACAAGAACACTTGTCCTGGTGATGTTAGTGCTTTGAGGTAAATATTCGCCGTCTTATAAAATGAAAACTACTGTTTTTTAGGTGCATTTATTCCTATACATCTGTTTGAAGTAAAGCAATGGTTTGGTAGGTAAAAACATTCAACTCCCAATTAATAGATCTCAGGTTTGAACCTTGAACCACTAATTTAATTCTTAGTAACCGGCTGGTTTCACTGATCGGCACACTCGTTCGAAGTTGAGTGCATTAACCTGCGCTTATCATACAAGTTATATCAAATTTTACTTAATATCTGTTCCCATGTGCCCATTTAAACCAAAATGAGATTGTACTTTTCAACTTGAAATTTACTAGAAACAGTATACGAGATCATTAGTTTACCATACCATAGTAGGTCTACTTCAACCTATTAAACTGAATAGCATTTTCGTACTAATACAACAGATGTGATGGAGATTTATTTGGACAGTTGATGGTTACATTTATTCATAAATGGAACTTATTCACTTGCAGTTGTAATCTGTTAGACGTGGCATGATAAAAATTATATTAAATCTTAATATATGGAACAAATTCAGCAGTTGTTGTAACAATAATATTATAAACACTAAAGGCAACTACTTTGTGAATAATTAATGAGTGTAGTGTGAGTCTCATTCATTTCATTTTTCTGAAGGTCGCTTCAGATTCGCATTGGGAACACCTAAATTAAACTAAATTTTCAGGAACTAAAACAGTTTCTTAATATTTTTTAAGTTATAAGATGATATTTGCTTACTAGATGCTGGATAGAGTAATGGTTTGTAATTCCACGTTTTTTCCTACTTAATTTAGACCTGGTGGCTTACGCTTTGGAAGTGCTGCGTTAACATCACGAAATTTTCATGAAGAAGATTTCGCTAAAGTTTCAGAATTCATACATGTCGGAATTCAAATAGCTGTTAAAGCTAATGAACTTGCTAACAGCAAACTATTAAAGGATTACGAAGTACGGTTTTTCCAGTTTATTATTATTATTAATTCTTTCAACACAAAAATATTGATACTAAAGGGCACCAAAATATATATGGACCACACAATAAGAAATGGAATTGTAAAGAGATAGAGAAAGGAATGCATGATAAATGGAAAGATACCGTAAATGAATCAAAATGAGTAAATAATTAAAATTAATGGAGAAACAGTTCATCTAAGAAAGTCACAACATAGAACCTGGTACGTATGTACATCGTTTCAGGTTCCCATACCCTATTATCTAACAGAGATGAAATTGTCAGGCAGAATCCCAAAATAGTAGAGGTAGTAACAGTGTAGTAAACGCGAACACAAGTGGGAACAATCGAATGTATTTGACCACAAAATTACAGAATCTTAGTAAAATGCAGATTGGGCCAAAGCTGGCCTAGGTTGGAATAGGCCTCCATCTTTCACTATACATAAACTGACTTCATCAGTCATGCCACCACCAGCTCTTATATAGCTACTTAAGTACACGAACTTCTTAACTTCTTACTGCTCATTATCAAGAGTGAGATCAGATAGAAGCCCCTGTCAATCTTATAAAAGTATTTTGCACTTAGAAGGTGCAAAACATTCTATCCCTACAGATGCAGATTAAGTGGATATTGTGTGGGTTAAGTCTCATCGCACGTTAAGGCAATATCATCCTCACATCCAAGATCAAGTCTTTCTACAGGTAATCATAGGTGTCCACATTACCATCACCTACTTTAACCAGAGTTGTTTCTAGAATTTAATCATTGCCAAAATTGTCGAGGAATGTCGTGGTTGAGCGAATCTCCCTTACTCCACTGAGCATGTGGGACAATAGAGACAGGGGGTCGTTGTGTCGAAGACATCAATTTTCTTGAACATACGCTTCTTCAACACACAGTTCCAGAGAACAATCTTGTCCAACGAACCAATCGTGACCTTGATGTCGAGAAGCATAGCGAAAGTTCTGTAATCAGTATGGCGCTGTTCTAACATTTGGGGAAGGACAAAGATTTCAATCAATACATCGATCATAATTAAAACTGACGTGCTCCTCGTGAATCAATCATTCATGGGTTTTGAGCTATCTATGAAGTGTGCCGGAAGTCAACAGTTTGGACACAGTTAGAAGTAGAGTTGTCCCTCGATAGTTGTTGCATAGTTGACACAAAACGTTATTGAAGATGGGAACGACTATCGCCTCATTCCAGGATGTTAGAACACCGATTCTCAAACGTTTCCAAATAACTTAGTTCTTTAACTAAAAGTTATCCACTATCCTTAAATAGATCTGAGGCGTCATCGTCCCTTGGTTGATTTATAACTCTTCAATAGTTGAAGTTCTTTGCGGACTTCATCTCGTTAGGTTAACGAAAATTTATCTTTTCTCATACCGATTTCTTCTCACTTCGATCGAACTTTCTAATATAACAACGTATAATTGACTTAATGTAAATCCAATCGATCAGTGCTGTCTCAGCTCTAGTGCTTAGTGTGACGCCATCATTAGAAAAACTGGACGGAGATGTCACATGGTCTCGAATAAACGTACGTGAAACAAGCTTTTAGACTAGACAAATGGAGAGTGTATGTGTAGTGCTTCATTAGAGTCTTGATCATGGGTCTCGGATGGATAACAGAGGTTGATATTAAGATTTTTCAAAGACGTAGAGCCAGTTTGAATAACACATTTGGTTTAAGAAAGGCTTGTTCAGAATTCATATACGGTGGTAGCTTTCAACTTTCAAACAGTCGGTAACTTGAGATGGTTTAGATACAATAAAATTCCCAGCATAAGCGAGCTGTTGTATGAGTTGAGAAATAAAAGAATATACGAAATAAGAATAAGAGGGAGTAGACAAGTGATGCCATGTAAAATAAAAACGAATGTGACCAAATAGTTGTGAATGTAATTTGTCAGAATGCGGATTAAAGTGAGAATGATATTTTCCAGTTTTGATTTATGTGTATGCTAAGATACTGCCCAGGTGGTTTTCGTAGGGGCCGCTCTACGAGTCTTCGATTTAGAGGTCCAATCCACAAGACATTGGAGCGACGTTAAGTGATGCAGTACTGGTACTGGTTTGGAATCAGGGTTTTCCAACTTCCCTAAGTAGACTCTGTGCGTGTACCAGTTCTCAGTTGTGCTGTGAAACTAATGCGTTAATTTTGTCTCTTTTTTCCTGAGTATATACAATGAATAGAGCTCTTTTTAAAAATGTTTCTTAAGATACTAAACGATTATTCAAAACCAAGGGATATTTTAGCTAGCAGTTGTTCACAATAACTTCATCGCCAGGCTGTGCAGTTGTATATTTATACATCGTCTGTTTTCATGTGGTCACTACCTAGCAAATGAGAATCGCCCTAGAAATAGAATTTCTGACGCTAATGCAAAGCGGACTATTTCAACATGCAGCATTGCCTGATTCACATATTTATGTATACCTTATTTTGATCATTATAATATAGGTTATGAATTTTTAACAAGGAGTAGGTTAACAAAGCTACTGAAAACAACCGTTCGCTTAGATATTTATTGTTTTTGCTTCGTGCTTATGAATAAAAAAACTTGGTTTGATCAAATATTTCTCTGGAATTTGGTTTATAAAAAGTAATAGTTTAGTTTACTTATGACTGTGACGTCATGAAAATGCACTGTAAATATTTTTATGTAGTTTTTTTTACAATCACTGAGTAAGAGTGCGTATTTTATTAAATGGGTCAACTACCAAACTATGTCATATGATTGATCATAGAATTATCCACACTTAAGTGAGTGCTAACCCATGCTGTTTAAACAATATTTGGTTAATGCACCAGTGTAAAATAAACTGTCTGCATGTGGTTTGGCATAAATTATGGATTAACAATGGTCAAGCAAACTATTTTGATTCTCCATTATGCCTAGTTTTCATGAAATCTCCATCTAAGGCCACAAAGTTCTGTGATGCGCACGTAGTAGAGAGCGGCATCTAGTTGAATAAGTTACTTTTTCTTGGCTGTAACCTGTTGCAGCGTAGATAAATAAAAATAAAATCCATTATCTGATCATCAAATTCTCAAGTTTATAACGTTACTCAGATATGTGTATATACTATAGCTAGTTTCATTTCTTTCTAACTAGGTTGTTGTTGAAACAAATGTTGAAGTACGTTCAATGATTGAAAAGTTGAGGCTTGAAATTGAGGAATTTGCTTCAAAATACCCTCTACCTGGACTAGATTTTTAGAAATTATGAAATGTACTAGGTTTTGATATTTTTTAATAACTAAATTTTATGATGTATAAAGTATTGTCGTCCTAATTTTGGTGAGACAATCATACAAATTTTTTTATAATATTAGCTCAGCGCATCCATAAGGTTTTCTTCAATCTTCCACGCACTTAGTTGTATCTTATATTTTCAGAGTTTTGTATAGTTTTAATGCGGCGTGTGTGTTGTAGCTACAAATGTCATTTCAGTATTTAGATACACTTATAATATAATAATTAGGTTGATATGATAAGACTGTTGGGCTACACTTATTCTGAGTAACCGCTAAATAAGTCCAATATTCATCACACAATTTGAATTTTCTAGTTAGTATGTGAAACTGGAAACCATACTTTTCATAGTTAAGCGCGGTCTACACTGTTTAGTTAGTAGATTCCATGAATAAAAATAGTAAGTTGGGATCATTTACAATCCAGGAGAAGTGGATTTATCATGTGATAATTCTTATTATCCCAACTTTATCAAGCGTTCCAACATCTCTGTATAGATTGCAATCGACTTACGTAATTTTTACATTTAGGGTTTTGATTGTAAATACATAAAACTGTGATCCAAAATCAACCACATTTCGCTAGGAAGTTAAGGATACACCTTTAAATTGAATTACTGTCTCTACCATTATCACTCCGAATCAATAGATTTCTTGATAGATATGTAAGAACTCAGACCATAAACTACGTATCGAGTTTTAATCAAAACAGCAGTTCATCCTCAGCATATTCAAACACTAGTTGTATCACTGATTGTGGCTTAAAAGCAAAATAAGTACCTTCGGTTTAAATTCTAGTCCCACTGACTGAAGTCCAGAGGAGTTCTACGGTAAGGTTTCTGATTCATCAGATGAGGTCCTTGAGTAGTAGGTTTAATGAAGCTATCTGTAATCCGGTTTACTGAATAGATAATGCTCAGACAACTGGTCTTTGACTTGCCACCCTACGACAATGACGTTCACAAACAATATTCCTGTAACCTATATCGTTCTATAGGGTCGACCAGAGACTACTGGGACACACTAAAAATTCGACCATATTCTGGTGAAATCAGGTGGAAAATATTGAAACTAGAGTACACATTCTAGATTATTTCAAATGTGATCGGCCTAAATAAAATCGACGTAAGCGAGGTTGTAGATCCTACTCCGCCGAAGTAGTGTATTTTATCACTAATCGTAGTGTGCTTCAATTACCTAAGCACATTTCAATAGTTGCAATTCTTGTAAGAATAGAACTCAGTTCCGTCAGTCAATTATTATCCTGGGTATTGCTTATATTCAAGTCAGTTACTGATCTGGTTTAATCCGAATCAAAGTGACAAGTCGGTGCACTTTATACAAAGATATGCTCTCTTTAGTAAACAAATATATTTTTTCTGCAGCGTGCTCGCATAACCTCCACTTGATTACTGACCGTATTTTCACTGTTGATAAGTTTCAAGTTAACAGTTGTGCAAATGTCATATTCAGTAGTACATCGAAAGTTTTGTTTATGAAAGAAAACCACTAAACTTTCAGTATACAATTGGGACAATTTTCAGTCTTATAATCAGATATTTTGTGTCGGGATCTCAATGTATACAGAAATTTACGTCGGGACGATTACAAGGCATTTATTTTCACAAGTAAATGAATATCACTTTACACTAATGAAATTGTTCAACAATATACAAAGGAACAAGTTTGACTAAAGGCAGCCAACTTTTAAGGAAATACATCACATACAATAAAGGTAAAAAGGCTAGTCGACATATTTGAACTAGAACGGGTTAGCATCAAGTTAACCACATTCTCTAAGCAGAGATTGATGTGGAAACTGTCATAAAGCCAGAAAAAGCTCAAATATGGTACGACCTCGCGCTTTTATCAGTAAAGAAAATTGAAGCCAGTAGTATGCATTAAATACTACATAGGCGGTCCGACGGATTGTATTGTCTTTGTCGAATCTCGAAGTTTTACGTGATTGTCAATTATGTGAAGAAGTTCTTCAGGTTGAGGGATACGGTTTGTGTACAATTTCGACCAGATTGGAATATCTGAAAATCAAATCAACATAACTGGACTTTCAGTAGGAAAAAATGAATTTGATTATATATTTAGCTAGAATGCTTTTAGTCCCTTTAAATACGTGCAAAAAGAATCATCGTCAATGAATGTCACCTCTGAATGCTGAAAATTAGCATTACAATGCCTTAACCAGTTGAAAGATTTCTTAAATGAATAACAACTATTCATCTCGTATGAAAAATGTGAAATTGAATAAAATTTAAGTATTTGACTAGTGATACGGGGTTTTTCGAGTTATTATTTCTAAAACGCCAGTGAAATTTCTTAGACATCTTGTTTCCAGGAACCAGAAAACAATCAACCAAAGAAGGAAAATATCACCACTTAAATTCCCAGTATAATTTTTGAAATGCTAATGTTACGAGAGAAGTTAATAAGGGATATGTAACACTGAGTGAATATACAAATATATGAAGATAATTATCAGAAGTTGACATTGAAGTCTATGATTGGATTTGGATAGAACAAGGTTATTTTAATCAAGCTATCGGTGCTTTATAATCCCGGTTTAGAATACAACACGTTCTAGCTGGCGATTTATGAGATTAGGTCTCATTGCAAGATAACGTTTTGATTAGTTATATTCACTGACGTTATAGTGAACATTAGGATGTAGAAGACATTAAAGAGGAGGAATGTATTTGTAAAATCTAAGAGAATGAATTTGAAGCAAATCCAATGTTCATTTTAAATGTCTCACATCAACTCGGCGCCCAAATACTGTGAGACTATTCGATCAAATTCAGACGAAATTACATGTATATTCAGAAGGTATGTTATTGATATAAATCATTAGGAATTCTCTTCAAGTAAATAAAAGCGAATATATTGTGGGTCCGCTTTCATTATGAAACTAACCGTAGGAAGTAAGAATGATTATATGAGGACAGAAGTACTAGTGATAATAATAAGAAATAGTCGGATAAATTAAAGATATCCTTTGAAAGTGAGAAGTACGTCGAAAAGTGGGAAAATAAACATTAAAACAATGATCATTGAAGGTATCACTACCAAGGTTTGACTTCGTAATTTCGAATTAATTGAGCATTGCGTAGGTTGTTATAGATAAATAATATATCCGTAATATTCTAATAAGTAGAAATATGAGATTTTCTGACGTTTCGTGACAGTGTAAGCCGAATCAAAATTGATTTGATTGTTTTTTCTCTGAAGAAGCAGCTTACAATGAGTTACGAAACACCGGATAGTCTTATGTTTCTATTCATTGGGAAATTGCGCAACACTGTAGGAGAAGCTGTGTTAAAAACCAAAGCTTAAACACGCAGATTGTGAAGATCAAATGGGGTAAGACGCACTTACTGCTGACTTAGTAATTTGTTGCTTCACAAAAGAAAGTAGAGTAACGGCGTTATTAACATATCCGGCACAAATGTCCGTGTGTCACTTTTATATAATTATTCTGAATCCTACTTATTGTGTGAAAAATAACCCACATTACTTCCCCATAAAAATCGATTTAAGCAAAGCAAAATATGATCGCATCATAAGTTGTAGACGTGACTTCCTTACTGTTATAACCCAGCTATTCTTATTGCTTAGCATTCTCGGACACCGATTCACTCGACAAGTCCCCCAAATCAGAACACGGTTGAACAGGAAAAGAGATTATATTCCAAATAACAAGGTTAGATGGAAGTAAGTGCAATAGGGAAAACGTTAATATATTTATAGTTTTTTCACATGAGGTTTCTTGTGTTCACTAAGTATTGACTAGCGTTGATTGGATAAGAATTAGCCAATCAGCGTGCGCCAAGGCGATCGTACATTGAGCATGCTTTAATCCAGTCTATGTCCCACTAACAGATACACACTAGACGCTTGCATTCATTTGATATTTACGCCGAAAGTAAGAGGTATTGATAATATAATCTGTTAAGGATAATTAATCGATGAATTCCTTAAAGTACGATAAAGTGTTTAACTAACATGTTCATGTTTGTCACTGGCAGTTAGGAATGTTTTCTCAATGTAATTTGTGCAAACATTACGTGGAACGTGGTTGGTCACGTCTATGTAAATCATTTACCAAGAATAGATTTGTGTACTTGGCTTTGAGCTACCAATCGAGATATACTGACTGAGACAATCGTTCCTTAAGGTCCTACTATGCCAGACAAGTTGGTTGAAGAACAGTGAAACTAAATGCATCAAACCCAAGGTCCGAAGGCGAAGTCGTACTGCTGACTATACGGAGGTGTGACGGCAATAACGTGTTTCCTTCAGACAACCAGCATAACAGCGGTGCTGCCTTCTTACAAGGAGGGGTGGGGTTAAAAAAGGTCGACCCTAAAAATGCACACCTTACCTTATCCCACGGATATCCGTCTCCGACTGTAAGGTCCCAACAACTACGGAGCTGGCAAAAAATTACTCATAAACAGGTCGTGTGTGACCGACCTCAAGTAGTTGTCCCTTGGGCACTGCGATCACGCTCTCAGGGCACTAAGACCACCAGAGGAATCCTTCCACGGTGTGGGCAACCGGGAAGTGATAACTGCCTTCATACTTCTAACAGCACTCAGGATCACTGTATTCATAATCAATCTTCCTCGTAATTCCCATTATTCCTCCTACATCGACTTTCAACACTAAACTTACTCTTTTGGCTTTATCCTCAAGTGTCACCATATCCAACGACCCTCCTGCTCAAAACACTGTCCTAGGTCTACTGAAACCTCGCTCCAACCTACACATTGAAGCGTCCAACGTACGCACCGTGTCGAATCGGCCAGCAGGTCTCCTTGCCTAGAACCCTAGAATCTCGTACCACTGATGTATGCTCTGTCTCCGAAACAGTATCCTAGTGTGCTCATTCACTTACCCTCACCCCGCCAAAACGGAGAGCCGATGAGATACACCGTCCGTGTATCTGGTGACCTGATATCTAGTTCTCGTGGGCTGGCAGGTGTAGGCATAGCACTAAGCATGAGGGCGAAACAAGCACTATTAGAATGGATCCCCGTTAACAGTCGTTTATGTGCTGTTCGGCTAAACGGCTCCGTA